CCTCAACACCAGACTTAATATTTCTCTCACTCTTTTACATTTCCCCCCTTAGCACTTGTCACAGATATTATGCTATATATTTATTTATTTTATTGTTTCTCTCCCTGGTTAGAATGTAAGCTCCATGAGGGCAGTTTTTTTTCTCTCTGTTTTGTTCACTGCTTTATCCCCAGAGCCTGGAAGAAAGCCTTGCACATGGTAAGTGTGCAATGTATGTGTGCTGAATTTATGGATGGAGGGGTAGAATGGATTGGAGGAAAGGGATACAGTTCTTTTCATTTTTCTTGGTTTGCTCTTGCAAGTTCACATATCTGTCATGATTCGAAGAGTTGAGAAACAATTGTGTTGTCACAGTTATGGGGAAGAGACTTCCTTTGCTATCTTTTCTCTTAGCTTGGAGAGCGTTATGTGGTATCCAGTTTATACAGCAGATTGAGACCTGCCAACTTTTCGATAATGTGACCAATAATTATGAAACAGTTCTTCCTTTCAAAGTTTATTTGTCATGCTTACTCTGCTTAATTAAGTACTTTGATGACCCAAGAGTTCTTGGTATGTAAGCTCAGAAGGGACTGAATTCCTTCCTTGCTCCCTCTCTCCCTCCCTTCCTACCTCCCTCCTTCCCTCCCTCCCTTCTTTCACTCTTTCTTTCCTCCTTCCTCTCCTCCCTCTTCTTCTCTGCTTCTCTCCTTCCCTCCCTTCTTTCCTACCAGGCTTTTTTCTTTCCTTCTTTTGCAATGCCTTTATAGTACTGTGCTTGGTTCTGTGAGAAATAATTCAAAGAATGATGAGATACCAGCCCATTCCTTAGAAATTTAGACTTTAATTGGTGTAAGAATTATACATGTGATAATTAAATAAAAATACAAGGCAAATGATTAATGCAAGTTGAATAATGAAGACAATAAGAATACTGAAGACAGTAAGTGCTATGCTAAGAAGTTTAAAGGTGAAGATTGAACTGGTTAGAGAAGTTTTAGAAGAGGTTACATAGAGTGGTTTGCTGGCGAGACCTATAAAACCTCTAATGTCTTCTGAGATGCATATTTTTAATGTGGTTTCATTTTATTTTTAACATGTTTTGAATTCCAGAAATTTTGGACTTACCATATTGAACAGTAATTACAATTACATATTATAGAAATATTTTAAAATACTGTCTATTAGAATATTAATACTTACAGTTAAACTTTACAATATGAAAAAGACACTAATAATTGCAACTAACAATGTAATGTAGCTAGCAGTGTAATAAATCATGACTCAGATATGAGTATTGGGTTGGTGGCTCAGATAGTAAAGAACCTGCCTGCAATGCAAGAGACCTGGGCTCGAACCCTGGGTTGGGAAGATCCCCTGGAGAAGCGAATGGCTGCCCACTTGAGTACTCTTGTCTGCAGAATTCCATGGACAGAGGAGCCTGGTGGGTAACAGTTCATGGGGTCACGAAGAGTCAGGCATGACTGAACGACTAACACACTTGGGTCAGATATGATTAAAAATATATTGTGAAAAATTTGGGAAATTTCTAAAGTTGGTTATCACATTTCCATAGTGTGGAACTGGATAAAACATTTTTTGTTTGCAATAGTATTGTTTTGAGAGTCAGTATTGTGTGATGCTGAAGACCTCAGGCTGTTAGGCTGCCTGAATTCAGAATCTGATACTACTATTTGTTGGCTGTGGAATCTTGGGCAATTTGATCCAAGTCTTTATTTTCCTCATCTGTAAAATAGAGATAATGGTAATTCCTTGAAAGGTAATTGTGAGGAATAAATGGAATAATGCGGTTGAAGTGTTTATCATAATGTCTAATAGACAGTAAATATTAAATAATGTTAGTAATTACTACCTATGCTAGTTCTGCTTAACTGGGCTTATTTGAATAAATAAATACTGAACTTTCTGTTTTTCATGCCATTCAAATTTGGATTTCACTACTCCTCCTTATACCACAAAGTTAAGGGACTGGATGAACTCCTGTGATTTATGACTTATTAACTGCTTTTTCTAACTTTTGTATATGTATCTGAGTTAGGAAATGTCTATTAGGTATTGTGCTATAAGTGAGTATCACGTTTAAATAATAGCATCAGGTAGTTTAATTACTTACATCTCCTAAACAAGGATATGATTTTTTATTTTTCTTTTTTTGGCAGGAAATCATTTTGTGCTATTGTTCATTCATAGTTGTTCATCAAGTTCTTTGAGTCTTCAAGGGCAGAATTTACCTCTAAACAGAAAGATGGAAACTAAAGTTCATTTATTTTGCCAGGTATTTTTCAAAACGGTTTGTAAAGATTCCTTCCTTTTCTTCCTTAAAAATTTGTTTACATTACTTCACACCTATAATCAGTAAGCAAATTCATAGCAACATAGTCATACTATCTTGCTTAAAAACTGAGGTGACTTTTGAATTGTTTTAGTAGAAATATATTGAACTCTCATCCCAGCAACCCATGATGTAGTATCAAGAGATCTGTAATGTATGATAAAACTAATTTTGGGGGGAAGGGACAGACACAATTTTTTTGGAGACCAAAGAATTTAAACCTACATGAGAGATTGTAAACAATGTAATTAATAACATGACAGTCTAACCAAAAGCTAAAAGATAATTTAAAAGATGGGACTTCGCTGGTGGCTCAGTGGTAAAGAATCTGCCTGCTAAAGCAGGAGATGCCGATTTGATCTCTGAGTGGGGGTGATCCCCTGGAGCAGGAAATTGCAACCCACTCCAGTATTCTTGCCTGGAAGATTCCACAGACAGAGGAGCCTGGTGGGCTACAGTTCGCGGAGTTGCAAAAGAGTCGAATATGACTTAGCCACTAAACAACAACAACAACAATTTAAAAGATACCAAGTGTCTCTAGTCTTCTTATCTTGATTCAGGGGATATTCCTATCTATTGGCCAGTATCGTGTCAATAAAAAACCAAATCTGGACTTATTATTGAGAGACTTTGTTCAAAAGGATTATTGTAAGGGACAAAAGAGACTACTGAAATAGAAGAAGGGGGGACTAACTGAAATAGGGACCATAAGATCTGCAAGCATCTCAAGGACTAGACCAAAATTTTCTTTTTTCTTTTAAGTTTTATTTTATATTTAATATTTTTATTGTGTATTGGAGTATAGTTGATTGATGTTCTGTTTGTTTCAGGTGCACAACAAAGTGATTAAAAGAATGTTCTTTTGTTGAGAGTGTAAATAAGGCTAGGTGCTAGAGGTTAAGAATCCACCTGCCAATGCAGGAGAATTGGGTTTGATCCCTGGGTTGGGAAGGGGATCCCTGGAGAAGGAAATGGCAGCCTTCTCCAGTATTCTTTGCTGGAAAATTACATGGACAGAGGAACCTGGCAGGCTACAGTCCATGCAGTTGGACACTACTGAGTGAGCATGAAGAAGGCCCGGAAGTATTGGTTATGGGGAAATGGGGAGTAGCATGATCAGATAAAGAGATCAGAGAAAGAGGCTAGCCTGTTCTCTAGAGGGGCTGCCTGCTCACTGGCTCAGTGTGGTGGTGGTGGTGGTGTTCACTTGCTCAGTTGTATCCTACTCTTTGCGACCCCACGGACTGCAGCATGCCAGGCTTCCTTCATCATCTCCCAGAGCTTGTTCAAACTCATGTGCATTGGGTCGGTGATGCCATCCAGCCATCTCATCCTCTGTCGAGATGGCTCAGGGTGAGGGTAGGCCAAAGTTTCGGGGCTTGGAGGAAGGAGAGAAGCTTAACCAAGCCTTGCTTAGTAAGTGTTTTGTCCTGATAAATAGGTGGGGATGAGACCGTTCAGCTAATCATTTATGAGGCAAAGAAAGGAAAATTTGAAGATGTTTGGCCTTGTCATAGGTAAACATGAGGGGTATGTGGTAAGTCTTATCTAAATCATTTGAGGAAGGGTAGTTCTTTACAGCCAGCTGTTATCCAGAACACAAAAGAGTGAGGGAATTCTTTTAAAGTTCACTGTTTTTTCAGAAGCACAAGGCTCAGGTGAAATTTAACATTGTCAATTGAGAGTCTTAATCTTTTAAATTTATTGTTTTAGTGGATCTGGTGCCACCATATAAGACATGTACCTATACAGTAATTCAAAATATAACTTCAGAACTTCATGCTAATTACTGAAGGCTGGATATGTCTAGACCTTTAGGCTCAGATGGTAAAGAATCTGCCTGTAATGTGGGAGACATTACATTAGATCTTTGGGTAGGGAAGATCCCCTGGAGAAGGAAATGGCAACCCACTCCAGTATTTTGGAGAATTCCATGGATAGAGGAGCCTGGTGGGCTACAGTCCAGTCCATGTGGTCGAAAAGAGGCAGACACGACTGAGTGACTAACACTTTACTTTGGCTAATTACTGAGACATGTAATATATACAATGTTGATGGTTCCCTTATAAACTGATTTTGAAGATAAATTCTTAAATATTAAAAAATTAACAATATCAAAATATCATACCAGTTTATTTCCTTAAGCTATATACTTTGTATTTTACAAATGGTTCACCTTTAACAGTAAAGTTTTAGAGATTCTTTTCTTCCTCTGTTAAAGTTTCTACTCACTATCTCTTTCTGTTTATCCGAACTTTGATAACAGATTTTTGTTCCCCTCTGTCTTAAAAGTTTTATTTAAATTAATTAATTTCTGTTATGCTGGGTCTTCATTGCTGCATGAGGGCTTCCTAGTTGTGGTGAGCAGGGGCTGCTCTCTAGTTGTGGTGTGCAGGTTTCTCATTACGGTGCTTTTGTTGTGGAGCATGGGCTCTAGGCGCTCAGGCTCAGTAGTAGCACATGGGCTCTAGAGTGTGGAGGCTTCAGCAGTTGTGGCACACAGGCTTAGTTGCCCTGTGGCATATGGTATCTTCCCAGACCAGGGATTGAAACCATGTCCCTTGCACTGGCAAGCAGAACCCATGTCCCCACACTGAACCACCAGAGAAGTGCTAGAATTGATTCTTGATGTTGTACATTCTGTGGGATTGGACAAATGTGTGATGACATGTAGCCACTATTAAAATGTTATATAGAATATTAATAGTTTCACTGCCCTAAAATCCTCTGTGCTTTGCCTATTTATCTCTTCTCACCCCACCTACTCCCACCAGCAACCGCTGATCTTTTCATTGTCCCCAAAGTTTTTCCTTTTCCAGAATGTCATATAGTTGGATCATACAGTATGCAGCTTTTACAGATTGGTTGCTTTCACAATGTAGAAGTATACATTTAAGATTCCGCCATGTCTTTTCATGGCTTGATAGCTCATTTCTTTTTAGTACTGAATAGTATTCCATGATCTGATTGTATCACAGTTTATCTATCCTTTGATCTACTGAAGAACATCTTAGTTTTTTACAAGTTTTGGCCATTATGAACAAAGCTATAAATGTCTGTGTTCAGGTTTTTGTGTGGATATACATTTTCAACTCCTCAGGGTAAATATGGAAAAGTGCAATTGCTGAATTGTATGGTAAGAGTATGTTTAGTTTGGTAAGACACTGTCAAATTGTCTTTCAAAATAGCTATGCCATTTTACATTCCCAGCAGCAATGAATGGGAGTTCCTCTTGCTTCACATTCTTGTCATCACTTGGTATTGTCTATGTTTTTGATTTTGGCCATTCTAATAGATGTGCAGTGGTATCTTGATGTTTCAGTTTGTAATTCCCTAATGACGTGATGTTGAACATCTTTTCATGTGCTTGTTTACCATCTGTATATCTTCTTTGGTGAGGTGTCTGTTAAGATCTTTTGCCTGTTTTTTAATTGGGTTGAAGTTTAAGAGTTCTTTGTATAGCTTTGAATATACAAATAAACATACTTTGAATACAGTCCCTTATCAGATATATCTTTTGCAAATATTTTCTCCCAGCCTATGGATTGTCCTTTCATCCTATTGACAGTGTCTTTTGCAAAGTAAAAGTTTTAATTAATGAAGTTAAGTTTAATGGTGCCATAAGAACTAGATTCAGTGAGTGTTAGATATATTCATGAATGCTTTACATTTGTAGCTGCATAGTGCACTAAGGAAAGTTGGAGTCATTTAGAATGTATACCTAATCCAAATTAATGCATTAAGTAGCTCTTTTCAACAAAATTCTTTTTGGTAGCACCATTTTGGAGAGAGTATTGATCTAGAGTGAATGATTTGACTCAGAATGTCATATTTAATTTATGTATGCAAAGAGAACATGGCTGACAGTGGCTTTTGATTGCTCTCCAGGGGGAAGAAAATACTGATTCATCAGATGATGACTGTAATTCTTTTGCAGCTGACTTATTATCAAGAGATATTGACAGCAAAAAGTACATCAAGTTTTCTAAAAGAATAGAGAAGAGAATTTCACCTGAAATTAGGGGTTTGAACCCAGAACACACAAAAAAGTAAGTTGAGCTGTGAACTTACTTAATTGAATTATACTTTTGCCAGTTTAAGAGAACCAAAAATGTAACTCATGTGTTCTCGTAATGTACTAAGCATAGAGGATCATGCATATTGTGACCATTCTTTTAGGAGCATGGTTTTAATTCCTAAATAACTTCTCATATTTTTCTCACTTCTCTCACAGCCATGTGGAGGCCTATAAGCTATCATAGTTTTCCAGTAATAAGGCCATCATCCATGTATCTGTCTAGATTTTTTTTTTTACAAAATTGTAATTTATTTAAATATATGGTGTCATGATTTAACATATGTATACATTGTGAAATGATTACCCCCATTGAATTAGTTAACACATTCATCATCTCACATATTTACTACATCATCATCATCATCATCATCATCATCATCATTATTATTTTGGTGAGAATAGAAGTTCTGATCTCAGCAAATCTTAGTTATACAGTACAGGATTACTAACTAGTCACCTGGTGACTTTTTTTTTTTTAAATATGTATAAGTCACATAGCATTTGTCTTTCTCTGTTTGAATTATTTCACTTTGCATAATGCCATCAAGGTCCATCCATGTTATTTCCTTCTTTCTCATGGCTAAATAATATTCCATTGTTTATATTTACCACATCTTCTTTATTTGGAGAAGGAAATGGCAATCCATTCCAGTATTCTTGCCTGGAGAATTTCAAGGACAGAGGAGCATGGCAGGATGGGATCTCAATCCATGGGATCACAGTCTATGGGGTCTCAAAGAGTCTTACATGACTGTGCAACTAACTTTCACTTTCACTTTTCTTTAACTATTAATCTGTTGACAGACACTTATATAGTTTTCATATCTTGGCTATTGTGGATAATACTGCAATGACAATGGGAATGCATATATCTCTTTTGAGATCTTGTTTTCATTTCTTTTGGATATATACCCAGAAATAGAATTGCTGGATCATTTTATAATTCTGTGTTTAATTTTTAAAAAAATTTATTTATTTATTATTTATTTCTGGCTGTACTGGGTCTTTGTTGGGGCATGGGCTTTTCTCGTTGCAGTGTATGGGTTTCTATTTAGAGTGGCTTTTCTTGTTGTGGAATGTGCGTTCTAGAGTGTGTGGGCTTCACTAGTTGCAGCACGTGGGCTCAGTGGTTGTGGTTCCCTGGCTCTAGAGCACAGGCTTAATAGTTGTGGCACCTGAACTTAGTTGCTCTGTGGCATGTGGGATCTTCCTGACCCAGGGATCGAATCCCTGTCTCCAGCATTGGGAGGCAGATTCTTTACCGCTGAGCCACCAGGGAAGCCCTGTGTTTAAATTTTTTTATGAAACCTGTCCATACTGTTTTCTATAGTGACCGTACTGACTAATATTCCCACCAACAGTGTACAGAGTTCTGCTTTCTGCACATCCTTGCCAACTCTAGTTATCTCCTCTTTTTGTGATGATGACCATTCTAACAGGTGTGAGGTGATACCTCACAGTGATTTTGATGTTAATTTCCCTGATGATGAGTGATGTCAAGCACCTTTTCATGTATTTGTTGATCATTGCTATGTCTTCCTTGGAGAGATATCTATTCAAATCTTTGCCTATTTTTAATTGGGTCATTTCTTCATTTGCTTTTGGGTTATATGAGTTGCTTATGTATTTTGAATATTAACTCATCAGATATATGGTTTGCCAATATTTTCTCTCACTCCCTAGGTTACCTTTTCATTTTGCTAATATTTTCCTTTGCTGAGGAGAAACTTTGTAGTTTGATATAGTCCCACTTGTTTATTTTGCTTCTTTTGCTTTTATTTTTGGTATCAATTGAAAAATCATTGCTAAGACTGATGTCAAAGACATTTGTTTTCCTCTAGGAGTTGCACAGTTTCTTTACCAAGATTCTTTTAGCTTTTTGAAGTCTTTTGTAGTTTCATACAGATTTTAGGATTGTTTAATTTCTGTGAAAAGTGACATTGGAATATGGATGAGAATTGCTTCAAATTCATAGTTCACTTTAGATAGTAATGACATTTTAACAATAGTAGTACTTCCAAACCATGAACACAGAATATCTTGGCATTATTTGTAATCTTCTTCAATGTCTTTCACCAGTGTTTATAGTTTTCAGTGTACAGATTTTTCACCTCCTTGGTTAAATTTATTCCTAAGTGTTTTATTCCTTTTGATTATGTAAATAGGGTTGTTTTCTTAATTTCTCTTTCTGATACTTCTTGTTAGTGGATAGAAGTACAATTGATTTTGTATATTTTACATTTTTCAACTTTATTGAATTTGTGTGTTAGTTCCAGCAGTTTTGTTTTTGGTGGAGTCTTTAAGGTTTTTCTGTGTATAAAATCATGCTGTCTTGTATATTATCTGTAGTGAAACAGATCACCAGCCCAGGTGGGATGCATGAGACAAGTGCTCGGGCCTGGTGCACTGAGAAGACCCAGAGGAATCGGGTGGAGAGGGAGGTGGGGGGATCGGGATGGGGAATACATGTAACTCCATGACTGATTCATGTCAATGTATGACAAAACCCACTGAAATGTTGTGAAGTAATTAGCCTCCAACTAATAAAAATAAATGAAAAGAAAAAAAATCATGCTGTCTGAAAACACAATTTAACTTCCTTTTCTGATTTGAATATCTTTTTTTTTTTCATGCCTAATTGCTCTGGCTAGGACTTCCAGTTGAATAAAAGTGGTGAGAGGGCACCCTTGTCTTGTTTCTGATCTTAGAGCAAAAGCTTTCAACTTTTCGCTTTCAACATGACAGTATGATGTTAACTCTGGGCTTGTCATATATGGCTTTGTTATGTTGAGGTACATTCCTTCTAAACCTATTTTGTTGAGAGTTTTTTATCATAAGTGAATATTGAGTTTTGTCAAATTTCTGCATCCATTGAGATGATCATGTAATTATTATCCTTCATTTTATTAATGTGATTGTGTAAGGAAAAGCCTAAGTTTTCCTGTTTATCTCCTTTACTTTCATGCTACTGCCACACTAACACTTCTAACACCAGATATGTGGATTTTCCCCCACGCCATGAAATTCTGCGACACCAGCTGGGTAGTCTACAATTTAACTCAATTCTGATGCTATCTACCTACAGATAGTGCCAGATCCCACAGGTTAAGGGTTCAGAGCCATGAGACTGCCCCACCCCCACTTCATCTTACAGTCTCAAGTGTTAGGTCCTCAGGTTACTTCTATCTGACTTGGCTATAAATCAGAGGTCCCTATGACCCCTCCTCAGGTTTGGTTAATTTCTAGAACAGCTCAGAAAGCTCAGGGAAACACTTAACTTATATTTACCAGTTTATTTAAAAAATGTGATAGAAGGTACAGATGAATAGCCAGACAAAGAGATACATTGGGAGAGGTCTGGAAGGGTCTCAGATGAAGGAGCTCTGTCCTTATGGAGTTGGAGTGTATCATCTTCCCAGTATGTGGATATGTTCAAGAACCTATAAAGCTCTCCAGAGAGGGTAGAGGACTGTAAATGGAGTTAACAATTGATAATGCCTACATGAGAAGGTGGAGAAGGCAATGGCGACCCACTCCAGTACTCTTGCCTGGAAAAATCCCACGGATAGAGGAGCCGGGTAGGCTGCAGTCCATAGGGTCGCTAGGAGTCATACATGACTGAGCAACTTTGTTTTCACTTTTCACTTTCCTGCATTGGAGAAGGAAGTGGCAACCCACTCCAGTGTTCTTGCCTGGAGCATCCCGGGGATAGGGGAGCCTGGTGGGCTGCCGTCTATGGGGTCGCACAGAGTCGGACACAACTGAAGCGATTTAGGAGCAGCAGCAGCACATAAGGAGGCCTCTAAAAAACTCCCAATAGTATGGGGTTCAGAGATCTTTCAGGTTGGTGAACACATCCACATACCAGGAAGGGTAATGTACCCTAACTCCGTGTGAACTTAATTTCCTGCACCTATGATCCTTCAAGACATTATCTTACATATCTCTTCATCTGGCTATTCATCTGTATCATTTTTCATGTCCTTTAATAAACTGGTAAGCGTACGTAACTGTTCTGAGTTCTTGAGTCCCTCAAGCAAAATAATGAAACCCAAGGAATGGCTTGTGAGAACCTCTGATTTATAGCCAGTTGGTCAGAAGCACAGGTGAAAAATGGGCCTGCAGTTGATATCTGAGGTAAGGTGGGGCAGTCTTGTGGAACTGAGCCCTTACCCTGTGGAATCTGAAAGTATCTCCAGGCACTTTGTATCAGGATTGAGTTAACTTATAAGACACCCATCTGGTGTCACAGAGAATTGCTTGGTGGGGGCAAACCCCACACACATTTGGGGTCAGATGTGAGTGTGATTGTAGTGTGAGAATAAAGGAGAAACAGAAGGAACACTGATTTTTCCCTACATAGTTGTGTATCACATTTATTGATTTTCCTATCTTGAACCATGCTTGTGTCCTGGGAATAAATCCCACTTGATCATGGTGTCTGATCTTTTTAATATACAGTTGAATGTGGTTTACAGATACTTTGTTGAGAGTTTTTGCATCTGTGTTCATCAGGAATATTAACCTGATATTCTTTTCTTGTAGTGTCCTTCTCGGGCTTTGATATTGGTAATGCATGATCCATTGCTTTAGTCGTGTCCTACTCTTTGTGACCCTATGGACTGTAGCCTGCCAGGCTCCTCTGTCCATGGGATTTTCCAAGCAAGAATACTGGAGTGGGTTGTCATGTCTTTCTCCAGGGAATCTTCCCTGACCTATGGATCGAATCCACGTCTCCAGCTTCTCCTGCATTGCAGGTGGATTCTTTACCGCTGAGCCACTGGGGAAGCCCATTGGTAATGCTGTCTTCATAAAATGAGTTTGAAAGTGTTCCCTCCTCTTCAGTTTTTGGAAAGAGTTTGAGAAGGATTGACATTAATTCTTCTTTAAATCTTTAGTAGAATGCACCAGCAAAGCTAACTGATTTTGGACTTTGTTGAAAGGTTTTTGATTACTGATTTAATGTCTTTACTAATAATGGGTCTGTTCAGATTTTGTACTTCTTTATAATTCAATCTTGGTAGGCTGTATTATTTTAGGAATTTCTTTCTTCTAGATTATCTAATTTATTGATATATAATTGTTCATAGTAGTTTCTTATGATCTTTACTATTTCTCTGTTATCAGTTGTAATACCTCCTTTTTTATTTCTTATTTCACTTGAGTTTATCTCTCAGCACCCCCTACCCCATTTTGTTTTTGATATCACAGTTTACATCTTTTTATATTATATACCTCTAAGCAAACTGTTGTGGTTATAGTTATTATTAATACTTTTGCCCTTTAACATTTATACCAAAGTTGTATGTGATTTGCCTCCACCATTACAATAGTGGTACACCATTATACACCTCGGATTTCCCAGGTGGCTCAGTGGTAAAGAATCCACTTGCCAGTGTAGGAGATGCAGGAGACCTGGGTTCAGTCCCTGGGTTGGGAAGATTCCCTGGAGGAGGAAATGGCAACCCACCCCATTATTCTTGGCTGGAGCATCCCATGGACAGGAGTCTGGCGGGCTACAGTCCATAGGGTTTCAAAGAGTCAGACGTTAATGAGTGACTGAAACAAGTCAGAAAGTGAAGTCACTCAGTCATGTCCGACTCTTTGTGGCCCCATGGACTGTAGCCCACCAGGCTCCTCTGTCCATGGGATTTTCCGGGCAAGAGTACTGGAGTGGGCTGCCATTTCCTTCTCCAGGGGATCTTCCTAAGCCAGGGATTGAACCCAGGGCTCCCGCACTGTAGGCAGATGCTTTACAGTCTGAGCCACCAGGGAAGATGAGTGACTGAGTACATCACAATATTAGAGTATTCTGAATTTGACTCTATATCTATATATATATATTTACCTTTACCAGTAAAATTTATATTTTCATATGTTTTCTTGGTACTAATTTAGCATACTTTCTTATTAACTTGCAGAACTCCCTTTAACATTTCTTATAAGGTCAGTCTAGTGGTGATGAACTCCTTCAGTTTTTGTTTGCCTATAAAATTCTTTATCTCTCCTTCAGTTCTAAATACAACTTTATGGGGTAGAGTATTCTTGTTTTTTTTTTTCTTTCAGCACTTTGAATATATCATCTCTCTCCCTCCTGGCCTGGAAGATTCCTGCTGACAAATTTGCTGATAATCATGTGGGAGTTCCCACTATTCCATTGAGTTAGAGGAGAAAGATGAGACAATCATTTCTAGGCCACCACATTAAGGGGCTTCCCAGGTGCTGCTAGTGGTAAAGAATCTACCTGCCAGTACAGGAGACCTAAGAGATGTGGGTTCAATCTCTGGGCCAGGATGGTCCCCTGGAGGAGGGCATGGCAACCCACACCAGTATTTTTGCCTGGAGAATCCCATGGACAGAAAAGCCTGGTAGCCTACAGTCTGTAGGGTCGCAAAGAGTCAGATGTGACTGAGGCGATCTAGCATGCGCACAGCACACCACAATAAAGCTTGTCACCTAGGAAGAAATGGAACGTAGTAGTAGTGTTTCTTTCCTTTCTTTTATTAGCATTGTTTAAAATGGTTAATACCTGGGGAGACACAATGCACCTAAGGAATGCAATATGAAACAAATGTTTTTAGTTATTTGTTATTTATATCAAATCATTCCTATTCCCTAAAATAGTTATCTTGTTATTAAAAGAACAGTTATACTTTTTAAAATGATAAAACATAAAAGGTGATGTAATGAGGTAGAAGTCATAATTATTCTAGAAATATGAAAATCAGTTTCACTAAGGATATATGGAAGGGGATGGGGGATGTAAAGCAGCAGTATGCTGTAGGTTGTGATTAATTCATGTGTCATGAAATCAAGAGGTAGCTACTAGTAGTTTTCTAAAAAGAAATTAGCATAGAATCGAAGACATTATAGTGCTTTTCATATAATAAGGATAAGTATTCTTTTGTGAAATTGTTTTATTTCTGTCTCTTTTTGTATATGGGTGTTACATCTCAATAGGAAATGTATTTTATACTCTGGGACATAGTCAAAGTAAAGCCATTGCCTTGTGAGGGGAGGACTGTCGAGGGGACTGACCACAGAGCATCTTCAGTGGGGATAAGAGCAAGGTAATAGGGCTCTCAGGGTAGAAGTTTAGGGATTGGATTTAAAGGGTATAATGTCAAAAGGGGCCTTCCCAGGTGGTGCAGTGTAAAGAATCTGCCTGCCAATGCAGGAGATTCAGGAGACATCAGTTTGATCCCTGGGTCTGGAAGATCCTTTGGAGGAGGAAATGGCAACCCACTTCAGTATTCTTGCCTGGAAAATTGCTTGGACAGAGGAGCCTGATGGACTGCAGTCCATGGGGTCACAAAGAGTCCGACACAGTTGGGCAACTGAGCTTGCTCTCAATGTCAAAAGATCAAGTTACCTACTAAGAAAGGGGAGTAGGCTGCATGATAAAAATTTCCCTTATTTCACAGTTTTGCTTAGTGCTAAGTTTATCTAAAGATGTTGTAGACTCAATCTAGTCATTTTTCTATGTATCACCTAAGCAGCCTTTGCATAGCAGATTACTCTAAAAGGAAGGAATCATTTCTGCTAAAGAGTTTTTAGTTTTACATACAAGGAAGAATAAGGTGTTACTTCTAAAGTACTAGATTACAGCCCAGTTGATATGAGTTTTGGGTAGAAACAAGCCTATGCGGTATTGCCATAGTGATTCTCAATTTATTCTCTGTGTTAGAATCTAGTATCTTTAGAAAAAAAAAAACTAGTATCTTTAAAATATTCCAAATATCATCTCAGTCTCCAAAATAATTAAAATCACAATATTGGGGGATTGGACACAGGCATCAGAATTTTTTGAAGCTCTCAGGTGATTCCATTGTGCAGACAAGTTTGGAATCTAGTTTATCTCAGAATCATTCTTAGTCTACAAGATCCCAGGGCACAAAATAATTTTAGGGTTGTCCTTGAAATCTAGATCTACTTTGGATTACTTAAAGCAAAGTATGAAATTTCCAAAAGCTCTTCTTTTTCAAATTCATTTCAGGGTTATTTTATTGATCTCACTATTGTATAGTTTGTGGAGTATATATTTGTGTTACAAAAGTTCTTGACAGTTCAATAAGAAGAGGAGGGAAAGAGGCAGGCATAAACAGAGAAAACCAAGAAATAAGAAAGCAGAGTAATTGCTAAAAAATAGTTCAGAATCTAGCTTGGACTTTAAAGTACCATTTCTTATTGAAAGGAACCATTTCTTTGGAGAAATGTGTGACAGCAGGTCTGGGAAAGGAAGTGTACAGATGAGCTTGGAGCATCTTGTCTTCCAGAAATGAGGAAACTAATGAAGACTGCTACCAGAGATGGATCAAGAGCCCACTTAAAAAAGCTCTCACCCCTTCCCAACCCACATTAGAAAATTAGAGCATCAATAAGGATAAAATTGCAGGGAATTAAAGTGAATTTAATATATTTAAATTAGTGTGTTCACAATGATATAAAAATAATTTTGTCATTGTTGAAGGTTCAGTTCAGCTCAGTCACTCAGTCATGTTCAACTCTTTGTGACCCCATGGACTGCAGCACACCAGGCATCCCTGTCCATCACCAACTCCCGGAGTTTACCCAAACTCATGTCCATTGAGTCGGTGATACCATCCAACCATCTCATCCTCTTTTGTCCCCTTCTCCTCCTGCCTTCAATCTTTCCCAATATCAGGGTCTTTTCAAATGAGTCAGTTTTTCTCATCAGGTGGCCGAGGTATTGGAGTTTCATCTTCAGCATCAGTCCTTCCAATGAACACTCAGGACTGATCTCATTTAGGATGGACTGGTTGGATCTCCTTGCAGTCCAAGGGACTCTCAAGAGTCTTCTCCAACACCACACTTCAAAAGCATCAATTCTTCGGCTCCCAGCTTTCTTTATAGTCCAGCTCTCACATCCGTACATGACTTCTGGAAAAACTATAGCCTTGACTAGATGGACCTTTGTTGGCAAAGTAATGTCTCTGCTTTTTAATGTTGAAGGTTACAGGTGAGCAAAGTCACTGTCACGGAAAGTGATAAATAAGGGAAAAGCAGTGAATGATCTTGCCTTTCTGAACTGTACCAAAGGGTAAGCAAATAGTACGTGAGAGAAAGTTTCTGTTTATGGAAATATTTTAGCTAATGAGAAAAGAAGGAATGATATTAGATTTAGAATGTAACCATTTTGCGGTTCCTGATGATTTACTGCAGATAGTTATTAGTAGCTGCTAATATCACAAATAGAGAGTTACCTGGACATTATATGCTTCCTGATGGGAAAATACCATCACCTATATAACCCCTTCCGACTACCCTCTAAAAAAGTAGAATATTAATCACATTGAGTCTTTAAACTCCTACAATCTTGGCAATAAAATCAGCAAAATCTAGACTGTGAAAAATCTTTAAAACAAGTGGCAATAATGATGATAATGATAATAAAAGACATGGGGGAAGAACCTATAGGTGGAAAAAGATCTAAAAGACATGTCAGCCAACTGTAATGTGGAGACCTTATTGAATCCCGATGTAAAGTGTTAAAAAATTTTGACACTTATGAGGCAATTGGAAATTTGAATACAGGTTCAGGTGTATTTGATGATATTAAGACATTATTGGGGATTTTTGGTTTCATAACTGTGTTTTAAATATGTTTTTAAAAGACAAAACACCTTGAAGAAATGCATATAAAAATCCTATGGATGATGCAATATGATACTGGAATTTGTTTTAAAGTAATAAGGAATGAGAGCAGGGATAAGAATATAGATGAAATAAAATTGTTCATTATTGAAACTGGGTGATGGGTCATTACTGAAACATGAGGAGATCATCATATTATTCTGTCTACTTTTGTTTGTGTTTGAAAATTTCCATAAATAAATGACAAAAGAAGAAGAATCAAGAAAAAAAATCAATTCAGGAATTACTCCAATTTTCTGTGCAATTTAGGTATGAAACATCAATGTTCCTACTCGGAGAGGAAAAATCCTCTGACTTTTCAGGAGAAAAAAAAGGCAGGAGGAAGAAGAGTTTACAAGTACAATTGCATACTAGAAGAACTGAGGTAAATAAAGATTTGCAAATATTTTTGCTTTGCTTTCAAGTATTTTCTTTAGCCCTCAAATAGTCCATTACATTTTAGTCCAAGTATTGAAATGTCATAATCTTAAATATTTCTTCTTCTTCCAGCTCCTTTACCCTATTCCTCCTGCACCTTCTCTTTCTGCTGTAACTCCTTTAAAAATATCAATAGAACATGGAACCTTTCAAGAAGAATATTAATTTTCCCCCTTCTTTATCCATCAGACCAGCATTTTTTATTATTATGCTCTCTATTAACGTTTCTGCTGTTGTAGCAGTGACTCTGGCATTCCTTGGCATTTGGCAGCATGAATTCAATCTTGGCCTTCATGTTGCTCTTCATATGGCCTTCTCCCCCGTGTCTACAGTTCAGACTCTTCTCTTATAAGCACATCATTGTGTCTTTCATCTTGAGGTCTTTAACTTGAGATTACACTGTAAAGACCATTTCTGCAAATAAGGTCACATTCACATTTTCCAGGGATTAGGATATAGACATCTCTTAGTGGGGTTATGTAACCTACTACATTCACTGTATGATATATTTAAGTATATGTTCCTTTATTTCGATATTTGTTTGCTTCCTGAGGCTGAGCAAATTTGGAAAACTCAGCAGTGGCTACAGGAATTTGGTGATGGACAGGGAGGCCTGGCGTGCTGTGGTCCATGGGGTCGCGAAGAGTCAGACACGACTGAGTGACTGAACTGAACTGAGGCTGAGAACACATGTCTTCAACTCTGGAAAATGCGAATCCATTATCTTTAGACTATTTTCCCTCCTCCAATCTCTTTATTCTGTTCTTCTGTATCTTCTGTTAGATGTGTGTTAGACCTTATCATTTTGTTTTCTGTGTTTTTTAATATTGCTTCATGTTTTTGATTTTTTTCTATTTTGTTCTGAGTAATTTCTCCCATCTACTTTCTTGTTGACTTTTCTTTTTTCCAGCCAGATATAATTTGCAGTTTAACCTATCTACTGAAATTTTAATGTCTATACATTTTACTTTTTGAAGTTTTATTTAGTTCTTAAAATTTGCCTTATATTATTTGCTTATGTCCCATAATTATTTTAGGATTGATATCTGATAAATCTAGATATGAAGTCATTGGGGGATTGAAATCTTCTGTTTGTTGTCTTGTTTGATTCTCACTCATTAACTCATATTCCTCTCAGTCTTGTATGGTTTGAGAGTCCTCTCTGGATCGTGCATGAATTTACAAGTTAGTGCTCCAGTGAATTCCTTGGAGGTCCAGTAGTTAGTAATTGGGCTTACACTGCAGTGGGCCCGAGATTCAAATCCTGATTGGGGAACTAAGATCCTGCAACCTGAAAAGTGCAGTCAAAAAAAAAAAAAAAAGTCAAGGCTCTAGGTTCCTTCCATAGAGCCACGTGAAATTGAAGACACCTAGAATTCAGTTCTTATTTTCTAAAGTGACATTTTTCTATCTGCTTAAGCTGTTTGTCATTTTTGAACTATCTTTATACATGCAGTGTTATTTTTATCAATGTTTATGGAGGTTTTCTTAACCATAAGAATAATTTAAAGCACACTTACCTGTATTATTTAAATAACTGTGTTGATTCTTCACATTATTTTACTTATATAGTCAAAACTTGTATATGTAGCCTAGAGTTTGATAGTCTTGTCTTCACTATACCATAGATTTGCTATCTTTTGTAAAATACATTACTATAAATTGACACAGCATTAATTATGAGATGATGTTGCATACTTAAGAAAAATGTGGCTTTGTCAAAGAATATGATGGAGTTTATTTAAAATTTTAGTATTATAAGCTGTAATTTAGTTACAAAAAGTAATTTTATATTAGAAGTATAGTAATTGGGTATAGGTATGATTGGAGCCTAGGTATGATTAATTATGTTTTAAGGGATTTATTGTTTAAGAATGCCAGTTTACCAGTGTGATCTGAGACACAGATATTCTTGCATTTGGCTCTAGGTTGCTCCTTTGTCTGTGAAGGAGAAGATGACTAGAAAAGAAAGCTCTTTATACAAGTTGCCAAGTCAGTACAGCATTCACAAGACTTTGTCACCTCTTGATAAATCTTCCTCAGTTATTCGGTATTTAAATCATTGTATTTTTTAAAAATATTGGATTCAGATTTGGGATTTTTCTACAGCATTCATTTCTCCCTTCTACAGAAAGTATGCCAAATAGTTTGTGCTAACTAAGACTGCTCTTAGGAAGGATGGTGTGGCACTAAGAGCCCTGCATGTGGAATTGAAAGGCTTAGAGTTGAGTCCTGATGGACTTCACATGCTGGTTTAGACTCTTATAGAATTCACTTTGTATTTCTGGGCCTCAGTTTCCACATCTATATAAGAATCTTGTACTAGATGCACTCTTTAATATTTTTTCCAACACCAACATCCTGTGATTTCCATGTTATGTAATCAGATGATTCATCTTTTTAAGATGTTTTTATCAACAGGTTATGGGATCTGAGATTCTTTGACTGTTTAAAGATATTCTTATTTATCTTATAATGTTGTTGTCGTTAAATTGTGTCCGACTGTTTTGTGACCCCACGGACTGTAGCCCACCAGGCTCCTCTGTCCTTGGAATTTCCTAGGCAAGAATACTGGATTGGTTTGCCATTTCCTTCTCCAGGAGATCTTTCCCACTCAGGGATCGAACTTGCATTTCCTGTGTCTGCTGCATTATGGGCAGATTCTTTACCTGCTGAGCCACCCGGGGAAAGTTATAATAACTTTCTATAAAATTTGCTGTAAGTTGAATTAGGAATAGGAAAAAGTGGACCACAGTCAAGAGATATTACATATTGACTAGGGTAAATCTGCTTCATAGAGATATACCTAAAAGAAATAAGTGAGAATTCTAGGGTGAAGAATATGTAATGACTGATTATCACTTGGACAGTTTTTAAAGAAAGGTTCTTATGGAGTTTAAGAGATGAGAATTTCAGGCTAAATTTTAATGGCAAAATATTATATATCACAAAGTTACATTAAAGTTTTGTGGGTTTTTTGTTTTATTTTTGTTTTCTTGCTTTCTGATGTGGCTGTTTCTTTGACAGGAAAGATGAAAAACTTTCTAACCTTTACCAGACACTATATGATGAAGTACCTGAAGGATGCTTTTACTCAGAAGAATTAAGCGGTAATAATAGGTTTCAGAATTTCTTGAATAAATTTCCTGATTATGTGTTCTGTGTTCTCAAAGAGACAATTTAAGTTATTTCTTTCCAAGTTTGATGACTTTCTAAAGGGGTAGGTTTCTTTGCTTGATAGATTTTTTTTCTTTCTTTCAGTATTTTGAGTATATCATCACATTCTCTCCTGGTCTGAAAAGTTTCTGTTGAAAAATTTGCCAGTGGCCTTACAGGATTCTCTTGTCTCTTTTCTCTCCTTGCTTTCAAAGTTCTTTCTTTGTTTTTGACTTTTGACAGTTTAATTATAAAGTATCTTTGCGTAACCTTATTTGGGTTCAAACTATTTTGGGATCCTTTAGGCCTCTTGGATTTGAATGTCCATTTATCTTCCCAAGTTTGGGATGTTTTCAGCCATTGTTGTTTTAAAATATATTTTCTGTTTCTTTCTCTTTGTCTTCTCTTCCTGGAATTCCTGTAATGCAGATATTGTTTCTTTTGTTTGTATCCTATAAGTCCTATAGGATCTCTTTGCTCTTTTTTCCTTTTTTTGCCTGGGTAATTTTAAATGTTCTTTCTTTAGATTCTTTCTTCTATGTGGTTCAGTTTGTTTTTAAAGCTATTTAATTTTCTTGTTAAATTCACTGTATTTTTCATTTCTAGGATTTCTTTTTATTTTCTTTTCTTTAATATTTTCTGTTTCTTTGTTGAGCTTCTTGTTTTTTGGCTGACAGTTAATAGATTTCCATTTCTTTAGAGCCAGTTATTGAAACTTTATTAGTTTTCTTTGGTAGTGTCACGTTTATGTAATTTTTCATTATCTTTGATTCCTTATATTGGCATCTACATTTGAGTAAGTGATCTCCTTTTCCAGATATTACTGGTTTGCTTTAGCAGAGACAGTTTTTCACCAGTCAGCTTAGTTTCTGTTTCTGGATGTGTTAACTGGTAATGTCCTTGGAAAGGTGGGTCTTGCTATCAGAGTCTCTTTTAGAGCTAGGCCACTGCTCATGTTCTAAGATTGGGGAGGGGATGCACTGGTTCAGAAGAGCTGGCTAGAACTGCTGGTTTGTCCCCTAAATGAAGCTATAGGAAAGGTTCTGTGTTGCTTGGGTTCTCTAGTCAGTCAGGACCGGGTTCTATACTCACTAGTAGGCAGGGCTATGAATTAACTTTTGAGCTTTGCAAGGCAATAGAACTGGTCCCAAAGGAATGCACTGCTTTTTGTGTGGAAATCTGAATCAGGCTAGACAGCACTGAGTTTCTTAGTTAGATGCCCCAGTTTTGCTCTGTAGACAGAGAAAACCCTGGGCTCTGCTATCTGTTCAACTGTTACTGTAAAGAGGGCTATGGGATGGGTTATACAGCTCCCCGTGTGCTCTGGTTAAGTCCCCTGGTTGGGCAGGCTAAAGGGTTGTGTTCAACAGTGTGTGGGACTATAAATTAGTTTCCTTGTTGAGCAAGGCACCATATAGGCCCTAAGACCTGCAAGGTTTGTTTGGGTATCAAGTTGGGCAGAATTATGCACCAAGTTCCCTGGTCTACTGATCTACCATCCTGTCTGCAGACAGGTAGGGCCAGCAGTGGGCCTATCTCAAGTGCCATTGTAATTGGAGTTGCAAGATGGTGTATAGAGATTCTCAGGAGTTATGGTTAAGTTTTTTGGTCAGATTGGACTGGAGCCTTTATATTCAGTGTTCAGTGGGGCTATAAATTACCTTTCCTGCCTGGTTCGGACTGAAGGACAGGTCCCCAGGGCTGGTAAAGCTCTTTGTTTGGGAATCAAATCAGACAGATCTCTGCACCAAACTCCCTGGACAGACAAAGCCACCATCTTGGCTTTGCAGATGCAGAGTTGCTGGTTGGGTTTTCTGCTCAAATGCCAATGTAATAGAGGCTTCAGGGTGGCCTACTGAGATTCCCAGGAGCTCTGTTCAGGATTCCTAGTTAATAGGACTGGAGTTTATATTCAGCAGAACAGGCTCCAAGGCTGATAAGACTCTTGTTTGGGGAGCTAATCAGGTAGATCTATGCATCCTGGCCAGATGCAGTTGCTGGCTTGTTTCTACAAGCAGACAGACCCACTAGCCAGGCTATCTGCTCAGGTACTGCTGGACCATGTCATTTCCCAGGTGTTCAGGCCAGGCTTCCTGGTCAGGCGGGGCCAGAAGCTCCATTCAGCAGTGCACTGGGCTGTGAATTACTTCCTCTCTCTGGGTAAGCAGGAGAACCAGCTCCAAAGCTGGAAAGGCTTTTTGTATGTGGTCTTGACTCAAGCAGACCTGTGCTCCAAGTTCCCTGGCTAAAGCAGGGCACTGACTTTTTCTGTGGATGACCAGTTCTGCTTGCTGGACTCTCCATTCCAGGATTGCTGGGCTGCATAGCTTCCTGGGTGTTTGGGTCCGGCTTTCTGGTCAGGCAGAACCAGGAGCTACAACTCAGCATTGGATGGAGATGTGAATTAGCTCCCTTGTCTAGATGGAGTATTAGAACTGACCCCAAGTAGCTTTCCAGGTATTCTGGTTAGTCTTTCTGGAGAGGCAGGGCCACATATCTTTAGTGTCTTTAAAGACATCTTTAGTGTCCAAGTGGTTGATTCATGTAATACTCATACAATACTTTTTAAAACTAATTATTACTTTAATTTCTCTCACCAACCCTGATGTCCACCATTTGATCATTGTTATAATGTTGAAACCTCAGACTTTAATGTCTTGTTCTCTGTTTTCCAACCTGAGCTGCTTTTAGCACCAGTTGGTATCCCCTTTTGTTTTGATCAGATCTCCTGTTTCTTCCTGTACTTATTTCACATCTTCATTTTTCTCTTCAAATCTTCAATCCTATCACCTAGTCCTTCAGTTCTTAAAATATGACATTGCTTTTTCATAGAGGGTTAATAAAGACTGTTTGGCAGAATCTTCCTGAACTCCTTGACTATAAATGAAATCCGTAGCCTTCTGTATTGTCTCATTGAGAAAGAGTCGCTTTCACAAGACAGATCCTTTCACTTCTCTTTTTTTTCAATTTTATTTTCTTCTGCTTCCTTAGGGACAATGCTTTGTCAGCTTTATACTCTTTCAGAGAAGCTTATTGAAAGAGTTTTTTTCATTAATTACTGTTTACTTCCTGTTGTTGTTCAGTTGCCCAGTTGTGTCTGACTCTTTGCAACCCCATGGACTGCAGCATGCCAGGCCTCCCTGTCCTTCACCATCTCCTGAAGTTTGCCCAAGTTCATGATCATGGCATTGGTTATTACTTCATCCAGGTTGAAGTAATGGAACCGGATGCCATGATGTTAGTTTTTTTTTTTACTATTTAGTTTTAAGCCAACTCTTTTACTATCCTCCTTCACCCTCATCAAGAGGCTCTTTAGTTCCTCTTTGCTTTCTGCCATTGAGTGGTATCATCTGCATATCTGAAGTTGTTGATGTTTCTCCTGCCTATCTTGATTCCAGCTTGTAACTCATCCAGCCTGGCATTTCTCATGATGTACTTAGCTTATAGTTAAATAAACAGCAGACAGCTCTGTCATAGTCCTTTCTCAGTTTGGAACCAGTTTGTTGTTCCATGTCCGGTTCTGACTGTTGCTTCTTGATCTGCATACAGATTTCTCAGGAGACAGATAAAGTAGTCTGGTATCCCCATCTCTTTAAGAGCTTTCCACAGTTTGTTATGATCCACACAGTCAAAGGCTTTAGCACCGTCAATGAAAAAGAGGTAGATGTTTTTCTGGAATTCCCTTGCTTTCTCTATGATACAGCGAATGTTGGCAATTTGCTCTCTGGTTCCTCTGCCTTTTCTAAACCCAGCTTGGACATCTGGAAGTTCTTGCTTCACGTAATGCTGAAGCCTAGCATGCAAGATTTTAAGCATGATGTTACTACCACAGGAGATGAGTGCAAATGTCCAAAGGTTTGAACGTTCTTTAGTACTGCTTTAGTATTTACTTCCTACTTCACTGAAATCTGGTTTCCAGAAACTTCCAGAAGTGAAACTTCTATTAGTAAAGTCATTAGTGTCTTTTTAAAAGTCTTTTTCTGGTATTTATCATTGTTATTTGTTGCCTCTTTTTCTGAAAACAAGGTGAATTCAACCCAATTTAGTTCAGTAGACATTTTTTGAGAATCTCTTCTGAAGTAGATTCTGGGACTTGAAGAATGAAAAATCTTGCCCTCTATTAGCTGACAGTTTAACTGAAGGATACTGACATGCAAGTAGTCAGAACACCAAGAGCTTTGACTGATACACACACAAGTTATAAGGAAGCAGAGAAGGGTTTAACATGCCCAGGATAAGTTGTGGAAGCCTTTGCTTATGTGAACCTTGCGTGAGTTTTCTGATAGTTTCTGAGAATTCTTTAGAAACTCATAGGCTTAGAGGTCACTGGCTCAAGACATACCCAAATAAGTAACAAGACTGATGTTAAAGCAAAGAGTTGGAACAGAAAGATTTGTTCCTCTTTTTCTTTAGTGATTGTCCCCCACCTTCACCTCAGCCCCGACCCTGGAGAGGATGGGGAGAATAAATGATTATTCCCTTGAATTAATTAACTGTTTTGTTATGTGTATTCAGCACTTCAGAAAGCCTGTAAAATTTTTAGTAAAATTCGAGGTGGTAAGGTTTATGTGAATGATCTGCCAATGATCCATCGAATCTTGAAGATCTCTATAAGTGACACAGAAATGCGAAAGGCACTGAAGACTATTGATATTGATGGTAAGTTTTTGTGTTTTCATTATTAGTTTAGGGGGTCTACAGTCATGGACATAAGTTAGATGTTGTTGTTGTTCAGTCACCCAGTCGTGTCCAACTCTGCGACCCCATGGACTGCAGCACACCAGGTTTCCCTGTCTTTCACCATATCCCAGAGTTTGCTCAAATTCATGTCCATTGAGTCAGTGATGCCATCCAACCATCTCGTCCTCTGTTTTCCCCTTCTCCTCCTGCCTTCAATCTTTCCCAGCCTTAGGGTCTTTTCTAATGAGCTGGCTGTTCGTATCAGGTGGCGAAAGTATTGGAATGTCAGCATCAGTCCTTCAAGGAATATTCAGGACTGATTTCCTTTATGATTGACTGGTTTGATCTTGTAGTCCAAGGGACTCTCAAGAGTCTTCTCCAGCACCACAGTTTGAAGGCATAAATTCTTCGGCGTTCAGCCTTCTTCTCAACTCTCACATCCATACATGACTATTGGGAAAGCCATAGCTTTGACTATATATGGGCCTTTGTCAGCAAAGTAATGTATCTGCTTTTTAATATACTATCTAGGTTTGCCATGGTCAGATTATAATTACAAATGATAGAAAAGCTAAACTTTAAAATGTTATAAAAAAACTTCTGTGCACATTTACAATAATGATATTAAAAAATTGGGCCTCAGATACACATGACTGAATTGATTGATTACTAGGTTGGCTTATGACATGCTGTCATCAACATTTGATATTTTTAGACTTTTAATTTTTGCTAGTTGCCTTAGTATGAAATGGCATGGGATAGGGAAAATTTCTTAAAGCAAAAAATGTTTGAGATTAATATATTTGATATATTTAATTATATTAAAATTCATTGCCTGGATTGAGAAGATCCCCTGGTGGAGGGCATGGCAACTCACTCCAATGTTCTTGCTTGGAGAATCCCATGGACAGAGAAGCCTGGTAGGCTACAGTCCATTGGGTCGCAAAGAGTTGGATATGACTGAAGCAACTTAGCGCACACATTTAAAAAGACACCTGAAAGTGAAAAGACAGGTTACAAACTTGGAGATATTTGCAATTCACACAATTGACAAATGATTAGTTTACAAAATGTGTAAAGAATTCATACAAATAGATGACAAATAATGAAATAGAAAAGAAGGCAAAACACATGGACAAGTATTTCACATAAAATGTAACACTTATAGTCAATAATTATGTATAAATAGGTTCAACATCACTCTTGTTCAAGGACATAAAAATAAAACCCTAATAAATTGCACTTTAAGTAGCTAGAGAAATTGGACATGATTGGACTATTGAACAATAGCAGAAACCTAGAAAAAAATGTATGTTTGCACTCAATGTTTGATACTTGAATCAAAGAAGTAAATAATAGAGAACGCATTACTTTTACAGACCATTCAAAACTTGTTATTAAGGGAGCCACAGGTCATAATGGCCATCATCAAAAAGTGCATAAACAATAAATGCTGGATAAGATGTGGAAAAAAGGGAACCTTCCTACACCATTGATGGGAATGTAAATTGGTACAACCACTATGGAGAACAGTATGGAGGTTCCTTAAAAACTAAAAATAGAACTACCACATGACTGCTCTTGTGTGTAGACTATGGTATTCTACTGTCAGTTAATTCTAGTCACATTTTTAGTTTGTACTTTATCTTATATGCTTAGTGAATCTGCTGATAAATTTGCTAATGGAGTCTTTTTCTTTCTTTTTCTGAATCATTTCTTATAGTTAATGGAATGCTGGATTTTTCAGATTTCCTTAAGGCTGTGAATAATGTCTGTTATTTGGTCTCTCGGAATCCAGGTAAAAAGATTTTCTTCAGAATTATAGAAGAAAATTATTTTTGGTAGTAACTGATTTTAGGGTGGGGTGGTTAAAAGAGTTGGATATGACTGAAGCAACTTAGCGCACACATTTAAAAAGACACCTGAAAGTGAAAAGACAGGTTACAAACTTGGAGATATTTGCAATTCACACAATTGACAAATGATTAGTTTACAAAATGTGTAAAGAATTCATACAAATAGATGACAAATAATGAAATAGAAAAGAAGGCAAAACACATGGACAAGTATTTCACATAAAATGTAACACTTATAGTCAATAATTATGTATAAATAGGTTCAACATCACTCTTGTTCAAGGACATAAAAATAAAACCCTAATAAATTGCACTTTAAGTAGCTAGAGAAATTGGACATGATTGGACTATTGAACAATAGCAGAAACCTAGAAAAAAATGTATGTTTGCACTCAATGTTTGATACTTGAATCAAAGAAGTAAATAATAGAGAACGCATTACTTTTACAGACCATTCAAAACTTGTTATTAAGGGAGCCACAGGTCATAATGGCCATCATCAAAAAGTGCATAAACAATAAATGCTGGATAAGATGTGGAAAAAAGGGAACCTTCCTACACCATTGATGGGAATGTAAATTGGTACAACCACTATGGAGAACAGTATGGAGGTTCCTTAAAAACTAAAAATAGAACTACCACATGACTGCTCTTGTGTGTAGACTATGGTATTCTACTGTCAGTTAATTCTAGTCACATTTTTAGTTTGTACTTTATCTTATATGCTTAGTGAATCTGCTGATAAATTTGCTAATGGAGTCTTTTTCTTTCTTTTTCTGAATCATTTCTTATAGTTAATGGAATGCTGGATTTTTCAGATTTCCTTAAGGCTGTGAATAATGTCTGTTATTTGGTCTCTCGGAATCCAGGTAAAAAGATTTTCTTCAGAATTATAGAAGAAAATTATTTTTGGTAGTAACTGATTTTAGGGTGGGGTGGTTATATGAATTTATGTTTTTTTTTTCAGAATTTCTTAACTCCTTTTTGCCTTAGTAGTCCAGGTTGAGAAAAATTAGACATGGGCTATTCTATAAAAGGCACTAAAAAACCTGGATCACTGCCATGGTATCCTAATTTTCTGTCTTCAATCTCCACTTTTTCCTGTACACAACTACAAGACCAATTTTTTTAAAACACAATTTTGTCATGTCATTACCTCAAAAATTTAGCTGCTCTTCTTAGTCCAAACTCTTATGCTTCAGGTCCTCACTTCTTCATAATTTTGCTTGCTGCTCTTCCTTTCTCCATAAATCTTTCCCAGGCAAGAACCCCGTGCTCCAGTTCAGTTCAGTCAGTTAGTTGTGTCCGACTCTTTGTGACCCCATGGACTGCAGCACTCCAGCATTCCCTGTCCATCACCAACTCCCGGGGCTTACTCAAACTCATGTCCATGGAGTCGGTGATGCTATCCAACAGTCTCATTCTCTGTCCCCTTCTCCTCCTGCCTTCAGTGTTTCCCAGCATCAGGGTCTTTTCTAATGAACCAGCTCTTTGCATCAGGTGGCCAAAGTTTTGGAGTTTCAGCTTCAGCATCAGTCCTTCCAATGAATATTCAGGGCTGATTTCCTTTAGGATGGACTGGTTGGATCTCCCTGTAGTCCAAGGGACTCTCAAGAGTCTTCTCCAGCACCACAATTCAAAAGTATCAATTCTTCTGTGCTCAGCTTTCTTTATAGTCCAACTCTCACATCCATACATGACTACTGGAAAAACTATAGCTTTGACTAGATGGACCTTTGTTGGCAAAGTAATGTCTCTGCTTTTTAATATGCTGTCTAGGTTGGTCATAGCTTTTCTTCCCAGGAGCAAGCGTCTTTTAATTTCATGGCTGAAGACACCATCTGCAGTGATTTTGAAGCCCCCAAAAATAGTCTCTCACTGTTTCCATTGTTTCCCTATCTATTTGCCATGAAGTGATGGGACTGGATGCCATGATCTTAGTTTTCTGAATGTTGAGTTTTAAGCCAACTTTTTCACTCTCCCCTTTAACTTTCATCAAGAGGCTCTTTAGTTCTTTGTCACTTTAGTGCTTAATTGAATAGTCATTGGAAGGACTGATGCTGAAGCTGAAGTTCCAGTACTTTGGCCACCTGATGCAAAGAGCTAACTCA